GACCGACAAACGGCAGCCATCGAAACTGCCAATATTCATGGCAAATTTGAGGACCTCCAACAGGAGCGTGCCGACGATTTAGCCCATCAGCAACAGGAGGCAGACAGACTAACTGCCATGTAGCAAACCATAAACGACTTGACAGACAAGCTCAACGTTGTCAATGCTGCCTTACAGAGCCTACTTCGAGAAGGCAACCATTATATCAGGGGTGCAGCAAACCTTACCCCCATTCCACAAAAGCTTAAGATACCGGAGCCAAAGCCATACGACGGATCCCGGGATGCTAAAGAAGTGGAAAACTTCATCTTCGACATCGAACAATACTTCGATGCCGTGGGCCATTTGGAGGAATCCAAAAAGGTAGCGACTGCTGCCATGTATCTTTGGTGGCGGTTCAAATACAAAGCCATCAAGGCCGGTGAAGATACTCTCTAGACATGGGATGAATTGAAGGTAGCCATACGCCTGCAATTCTTTCCTGAAAACGTGGAATACAATGCAAGTAGAAAGCTACGGGACCTCCGCCACACCAAATCAGTGCGGGAGTACGTGCGCTAATTCTCCGCACTCATGCTAAACATACGCGACATGGGGGACAAAGACAAACTCTTCGCATTCATAGAAGGTTTGAAACCTCATGCCCGTATGGAACTACAGCGACAACGGGTAGACACCCTGCCCAAGGCCATTCAAGCTGCAGAATGCCTTGGCGACTATCATTTGGGAACTCAGAACGACAGGCCCCAGCCGTCTGTCCGAGGGGGATTCAACGGGCACCATCCCAGCAATGGTGGCCCAAGCAAAAGTGGGGGAGATCGGAGTGCATCCAAAACTAAGACTCCTCCCTCTAACAGCAACAGTGCTGCATCCATCAACAAAAGGCGTTGCGTAACAGTTATTATGTTTAAATTGTCTATTGTGCCCGTTTTTGCTGTTAACGTGTTCTGATCTGGAGTGGAGTCCAAAGCTACTTCGCTACCGTGTTACGATGTCAATCACCACTGCGCTCTCTTGGTTAATCTGTTTTCTCTCTCCTCACGCCAACGTTCAAAGTTTTGTTATTCCAAGGTGATTCGATAGTTCAAAAGTTAGTTTATTGATCTATGTTTTCGTACGATGAAGCTTCATCTCTGTTCTTGTGACTTTCTGATTTTGTGTTTTTTCTATGGCCTTTAATTCCTCCGTAAGTTTCTTTTTGATTTATATTTCACTTTGTTTTTTGAATGTTTATTGCCGTCTGATTACGTCGCCCCAACTTTGTAATTGATTTATTTTATTGACATGCAAATGGGTAATTTGTGCAAAAATTGGTTTGATCCTTGCAATTTTTGACATTTTACAGCTGGATAACACTCCATTTCGTAGTCTGCCACAAACTACTTAAATATAATTTAATTTTTACGCCATAGATCACCAAAACGTTTATTGTCATATCTGATGCAAATGGTAAAGAGGAAAATTTACAGTGATGGAAGTTCGCATGTAGAACAACGATTTCTCACTGTGAATGATTAAGCTATGAGATCATACGACTTTGCACATGTCCTTGATACAGAAAGCTTAACGAAACAGGGTTAAAAGCAAAGCTGCTTTTTTGCTTAAACATTTGAATAATATGTTGCATAAGAATCCCTATAGGCATGATTACTAAGTGTAAATAGTTAGAACATGTGTGTGCACGATCCTGAGAACAAGTCTTCCTATGGAGAAGGTTGGCTCCTAGCTCGTCACAGTCCTATAAATTGCTCTACTGTTACTATGGAAGTATTTTCAATTTTATTTCTTTAATTATAAACCTATTTACCTTCTACACAATTCCGACGACGAAAGAATTTGAAGATTTCTTACAAATGTAAATTGATCTTTTATAGTTTTAGAAGCACGAAGTTCGTCGATAAAAGATGAGATAAACACTAAAATAACCTTTAGATCTAATAGTTACAAATACAGAATCCAGTTTCACTATACAACCTTGGTCAAAGTATAGCCCATATATACATAGGTCCAGTTAAAAAAAGAAAAATACTTCTGATTTACTGCTCTTTATGATTCTGCCACAGATTTACAACTTTTCCCATACTTGCCCTTGCTATATTTCTTAACATTCTGATAGTTTTCTGTAGCATAAAAGAATACTGTGCTTTGACAAAGTTTTCCTGCATTATTAAATTTGGTGTATACGTTTAAGATATTAGGGAAATAACATTGTAATTATGGTACCTAGTACTTTCATATATGCTGCTCCCTTGAAAGGTTTACAACTTCAGCTTCAGTCTTTCACTTTAATCGTTGTCTTGAACTCATCCGACGAAGAATGAAACTAACATACCAAAACCAAATACACATTTATTCAATTTTCAAAATGATAGTGTGTTTTACAATGGAATAACTTTGTCATAGCCCTGTATTGAATTCATCTACCTTTCCATTGTCAGTAGAATAAATAGCAACTCTCCTGCTTAAAGTCTACTGAAGTACTTTTTAGCTTGATTTCTGTGAACTATTTGAAATGCAGATATCTCACAGTAATAAGTTTGTGAAGAAATGTCTTCTGACTGAAGGAACAAACATATACAGAAGATACAAAGAGGAATCCTTAGTGGAAAAGCTTATTGCAGAAGCATCCGTAGGAGAAAATTGCTGTGTTATTATATTCATCATCGATGTCTGGTATTTATATTGCCACAGTCCTTAATAAGTTATAATCACTGACATCCATGCTGGTGCTAAAACATGTGAACTTCTTTAGTGAAAAATGTGTGAACTTGTAGCTATCTTTTTTCCGGGATTAACAACACTGCACAAATGACATTCCTCAAACAAACAGATAAAGCACTTGGAGCAAATTAAAACACATGTATAGCCCATCAAAGCAGAAAAAATTTAACGGTTTATGTACGGTAAAGTGTCATTCAGCGAAATAAACCTTTTAACATGCTAATCAGAAAAGTTATAGAAATTATGTATAGCAGAAAAGATGAAATTGCATATTTAAATAATGAACAAAACCTTGATGTTATTTTTATATGTCAGAACTTGCTAGATTCTAAACCCGTTAAGGCTTCTATTCTAGCAAATAATAGTAAAACTGGATATTTATTTCTCATAAGTTCTCTTTATATAGAAAAAACTATTGTTGATGTTAGACCGTGGGTAGTTTTGATATTTTCAGTTCCATCTCTGAATTAACCCTCAGTAATTCACATCAATGCCGCAATGATTACATTTACTGGGCAGTCTGCTGTTGCATTTACGACTGTAATAACTGATGAACTTGTATATTCCATTTCATTTTCCTTGTACTCTAAACCGAAAATGTCATATATGCTATGCAACATGTGCTACATCTATATCTGGGTGGTCATGAAGAATAACAACTTCTATCTTTCATATTTTATTTCTTGTGCAACTATAATTTGAACCTTAATATTCTGTGCCAGGATTGGTTAATCTGACTTGTCTATGTCCGCACTCATAAGCATACTCTACAATGTTTTTAGAGTATTGTACAGGCGGTCTGTCAAGTCCTTGCTTAAACATAATGTTTATCTACACATTTTACAATTATGTCTTCTAATTATATAATGGTTAGATTTATTTCACTGTTGCTAGAGTTGATTTGACATAATAGTTTATCATCTGTGCTGATAAAATTTTTAATTGTTGCTATCCGGCACAGATTCATATCAGCAGATACTGCTGGAAGACCATATGACTTCGGCATTGAAGCTTCTGTATTTGTTGGTTTGTACATTCAAAGCATTCCATTGACTTGAAATAACAAAATATTAGAGAAATAGATGGCTTATAAAGAGTAACATTTTTGTGATAACTTTATAATCTTCTATTTCTCTTTTGGACACAAGCTCATTCCTTGCTGATATTGTCACCATACCTCAATTTATAATAGCAAAACTTTGTTCATATTGGTTCGGGCAAAGCCCGGGCTACCCTTACTAGTAATTTTATAAGCCTGAATCATCATTGCCATTAAAAACAATGATAGACTCTGTTTTTTGGACTAGAAAGTGGTTCTCCTTTCTTTTCCTCAACTTATAATTTCTTATCAAATGTGGTTATTGTCTTTTTCAAACTTATCAATTCAACATTATTATTATTTTTATTGAAATTATCTTTAATAGTAGTTGCAAAACCACAAAGGATTTTCTGATTAGAATTTACTGATTTTAATTTAACTCTACCATGTATTTTTTATCTACTTTAATATAAACCCTATGCTATCCTTATTTTACTTTAATATTATAAAATAATGAAGAAAGTGAATGAGAAAAGTAGACAGCTTTGTCTGCAGTGCTCACCAGGTAACCGGCCCACGCGCCGACCTTTTCGGTTTAGTTGAAGACTTTCCATAAGTATCCCTCGAAATGTAATAAACTTCGAATTTACCCTAGGATACAGTTTGTGGCATGAGATGCTAAGAATACCAAAAATCTTAAGATTATTTTAGTAGACAACAAAATTATAAAAATACGTTGGGCATGTTACAGTCAGATCTCTCTATAACAACACCCTATATAACAATACTTCACTATAAAATTCAAGCTTTTTCGAAACTAAATTTCATATTATGTTATAATATATGTTCTATATAACAGTACTTTACTATAACATCCAAAAATATTCGGAACAAATGAGACTGTTATAAAGAAGTTTGACTGTATATGAATTTTACTGATGGAGATGAGATATTTTTGTGCCTAATAATTACATCGATCCTATTTGTGTGAGTTCACGCACTTAGCCACCTTGTGAGACAATAACAATATCATATGTACCATATGGAAATATACAAACTCAAATATGTCAAAAGAATCATATTATTCCTTCTCGTGCACTTTAATTGATTTCGATTATTTTCACATATGAAGGAATTCACATTTTAACATTAATTAACAAAAATTGACCATATTAACCTTATTTCGTTCTTTAGAAATATAATAAATCCTCTTAGACTCTTTATTTCAAGGGCAATTTAAAAAAATGAAGTCAAATCCTTCTTGATATCTTAAAAAAAATCAAATATTATGGACTATAAGAAAAATACCAAAAAATCAATTAAAGTGGATCGGAGAGAGTATGATTTTTTCAGATTTGCTCCACTAAATAATATATTTATCAAAATATTTTATTCGATTCTAAATAAGTACCCGTATAAATGAATATTTTATATCTGGTCAAACACGAAATGATATGCATATGGATGGATGTAGTATTCTAGTGACGGGTTCAGCTGAACCCATAACTTCGAGTCAAACTATAAATATATGCATAAAAAATTTATTAAAATAAAAAACTTATAAATATAAACTTATAATTTTAAAATATAATGAGTCCAATGCTAAACCCTTATATATTTTAAGGCAAAATACATAAGTTGCCACCTGACCTATGGCCCAAATCCCCCTTACACACTTTTTGTGGACGATAATAATATTACACACGCAACCCTTTTAAAGTGTATCTAGTACACACCATCTTTTTGTTGATCAGCTTTTCAAAATATGTGTAATATCACGCACCAATAATATCGTGACACGTGTCAAAATAGAAAGAAAATACAATAAAATACCTAATTTACACCATAATTAAAATTTCTTCTTTAGAAAAAGAAAAAAGAAATAAAAAAGATCCCCCTTTCCCGCTTTTAGTAATTCCTTCCCCCCTGCCCCAATCCACTTAATCATCTTCTCCACAATCTTTCCACCATTAACGCCATAGTTAGTAGCACCGTGTCCCATTTTCTCAATAATGCCAATGGAGCTTGACTTTTAGAGATGAATAAGAACTAAAGATGTCCATCTTCTTCTACAAAAAAGTTTTTATTTTTATTAAAATCACCATTGTCATAACAGTACCACTACCGCCATTAATTTTTAGAGCAAAATCCACAAACACTATAAACCCCCTTTTCAAACCCATTCAATTAAAAAAAATTGAAGTCAAAGAAAGAATCAGCAGATCTGAAAATAAAATTATGAAAAAATATAGAGAAACTAGTCATTGATTTCATTAGCAGATCTGAAAGGGTTAAATCTTGGAGGAGATGACTAATAATTTAGAACTTGGATCTAGCTCTACAATTATTGTTGTGTTTTAGAGTTTAATCTATGGAGAAGACAAAGTGGGTGGCCAGGGGAAGAGGAAAACGTGTGGGGTGGTAGGGTGTGGAAAATGGACCAAATTATCTGGAGATGAAATAGTTAAAAATAAAAAAAGAAGAATTGACTCAAAAAAAATTTAAAAGTAAAAAAGGCTGGACATATGACATTTAAGTAATGATTAAGACCCAAAAGTTTTACATTCACCCGCCTCTTTTACGTGTAAAATACGCGCGCGTCATCTGTCAAATGTGGTGTGTATTAGATACATTTTAGAAAGGTTGCGTGTGTAATATTATTATCGTTCACAAAAAGTATGTAAGGGAGATTTGGGCCATAGATCAGGTGACAACTTATGTATTTTGCCATATTTTAACCCATAAAATGTAAATATCGATCACAAGATTAAATGGAACAATCAAAGGGCATTTAATGGAATATAAGGAAAGAATGGGACCCTTCCGGCGTGGGGTGGCGCTAGTTTAGCATTAGCCCTCAGTAGAGCAAAGCCGGCGGGGCTATTGACACATGGCGTACAACTTAATCGGTTTCAGATTTGACGTTAGCTTATGAATGTCCACGTCAGCACCACTAGCCGTTGCGACTTGGCCCCACTCAAAATCTGTGCCCTGGAGCGAAAATCATGGTACCTTTAGACCGAAGTTAACGGCGTCAAATTTGGGGTCAATTCGGTTAAAAGGTGTAGGCTTTAACTAAGATGGACTCACTAATCATCGTAACGCCCGTCGAGGACCGTGTCACGCTTCTCCCCTTTATCACCTTTGCTAAAACCCGAAAGTTTAGCCTTCACAAAATGTAGGGGTGGTTTGGTAGGGTATATAAGAATAATGCGAAATAAGGTGTATAAGAATAATGCGGAATAAGGTGTATTAATAATGCAAGTATTAGTTGTGCATATATTATTTCTCATCTTCTGTTTGATGTAGTGTATTAAAATTATAATGCATTGCATAAGAAAAATAATTGTTTACAAAAATGCCCTCCATATTCTCTAGCTTTAAAGGACTTTAAGGATAATTTTGTCTTTAAACATACTAATGCATGCATTAATAGCCTTGGTATTACTAATGACATGGTTTTCAATGCATTACTAATACCAAGTATGATGTATAACTAATATTAGTTATACACATCTTGAAAAAATATACCAAATAAGGTATTAGTAATGCATAGAGCTAATGCTTGCATTATTTTTTCTAATACCTCCTACCAAACGACCCCTAACTTATATAACCACTATTCCTAATTAGAAATAATATAAAATTTACTAATAAATTTTATTTTTATAACCGAAAGTATCTAAAATACTTTTAAAAAATATCGGTCTAAAAAATTAATTAATCTTTAATACTAATAGTATCATCAAACATGAGACATAACTGTTGCTCCCTCCATTCCACTTTATTTTGACACTTTTTTTATTTGTTCGTTCAAAAAGGAATAATATATTTTAATATATCTTTAACGAAATTTTTCTATGATCACATAAATATTGTATATTTATGACATTTTTTAAGATTACAAGTCAGTGAAACTGAAAGTACTTAATTACGAATTCTTATTTAATGTACTAGCAGGAAAAAAAAAGGAATAAAGTGTCTACAGTACAGGGTTCTTTAAAAAACACGTATTATAAGTTGGTGATACCTTTTGAATTTGATCTTACAATCTTTTTGCAAGTTCAAGTTTTTAAAGCAAATTGGTTGAGGCTATATATTCTCAAACTTACATAAACTTTTTGTAAGAAACTTTAAACTATCTAGATATAATTTCTGTTAAAGAAACAAAGACTAAAATTTCAAAACAAAAAACGACAACCTTTTTGCAAGGTTTGGTAAGATGTTGTTGGCTTCTTTTTCTTGTATTCTTTCGTAATTGTTCAAGAATTGGGAGAATATAGCTGCATGGGAAAGGACTCAAAAAGTTTTAGGGTACACTTAAATAGCAGACAAAGGGAACAAGAGGATCTATATTGAGATCCCAAATGCATTGTAAATGCTGCTGATGTTTACTTAATTCTCGTTTTGATACTGTACACGTGAGACTTTGTATGCCCAATGTCAGAAAATGCTTTTTACATTCTTTTATTTTTGGATAAATTAAAACTCAACTGATTGAAATAAGAAGAATCCCTAGAAGTAGAAAGTCTAGCTTATGTATTGGGACATCCAAAGGTTAGGATATAACCCCAATACCATGCTAATTTTTCTCTCTTTTTCTAAAATAATCTTAGGAGTCGTCTGGTTGTGGTATTTAGCAAAATTAATCCCAGCATACAATCCAACATAAGATAATACATTGGTTGATATTTGATGCATAAGATAATTGTCGAATAGCTAATGCAATATTTGTAGAAAAATAGGATAGAATGACTGAAATTTTTATTGTATTTTCTCATTGGACTATATCAGTGTATTTATACAAGTATTTTGCAGGAATAAAATTAAAAAAAAAATCCTATACACTTGTCATGCTGGAAATGACCTAAGCTATCAAACAAAAAATACTATGTACATCTAATAAATTAGTGTACAATTTGTACACAATTTTGTTGAGTGATATTGGATAGAACACAACTATTAGCAACTAAGATCGGACGACCAATAGACAATCCAACAACATGTGATCCTAAAGTTGAGGTTGCTCCACGTGTCTTGTCGAAATTCCCAAAAAATTGACCTAAGCTTGAGTCCAACATTTCAGACGGTGGTACTTGATCTTCTCTTAGGTTTGACCGAAGTTAAGAGACCTATTTTGCCT